CACACAACAGGATTCAAGGGCTCTATTGCCCAAATCTTTCATCCCAATCCTTAATCAGAATGCCTCACATCCTTCCCCAAGACAGATGCTGGTTGCCTACACTTTATTATATGTTTTCTCTCTCTTTCCTGTCAGATGACCTCACATGATACAGACTGAGATATTTAGTTTCCTGACCTCCACCTTGCAGTGATGTGGCCCATTCAGGGTCAATGAGACATAAAGAAAGTTTGCTGTGAGGCTTCCAGGAAAGTTTTTCCCCCATTTATGAAGTTGGTCAAGGGGAGGGGGACCCTACTCCCTTCCTTTTGTTGTCAGATACAGTTGTGTGAAGATGTGACGTCTGGGGCTGCAGCAGCCATCTTGCTACATGAGACAACATGCCAACCCACCAAGGGTGGCAGAGCAGAAGGATGCAAAGAGCCCAGGTACTTGATGGGTCACTAAGTTGCTGAGCCAGCCTGAAACCACTTACCTCCATATTACTTGCAGCCAAAAGGATTTTCATTGATGTACTGCTTAAATTTCCAAAGAGAAACCCGGGTGAAAAAGGAAGGAATCCTGCTGGGTAAAGCAACAGCAAGGCCAGTCCTTCACAGCCCCAAAACATTTGATCGTCAACAAATATTTATGGAGGAACTGCCATGTGCCAAACTCTGTGTTAAGTGCTTGGGATAATGACACGGTCTCTACCTTTGTGCAGCTCTCAGTTTAGAAAGGGACTCAGAGGTTAAACAATTGATTATGTATTTACATATAAGGCACAGGAGATTCAGGGGCTCTGGGACCTCACACGTGACAGGTAGGTTGGGGTCATGTGTTCGGGAAGTGTCCTCTATAATGATAATGGTTACTTTTACATTTGAGAAACAAATGACAGAGCAAAGAAATCTGCTCCAGGCAGAGTAAACTCTAGGAGCAAAGGCCTGGAGGCAAAATAAAGTGTGGTGGAGAGAAGCCAGGATGAAAGTTCTGGAAGGGGAGGTCAGAGAGGCTGACAGAGGCCAAACCACAAGGTTCTGAAGGTCACGATGAAGAGTATGGACAATACCTGAAGGGCAACGGGCAACCGCAGAAGGGCTTAAAGAGATGAGGGATGTGATCTGATCTAAGATGAAGACTCTGGAAGCTGGAGGGGGTGAGGCCTGGAGGCAAAAGAGAACATAGGAAGATCCTATCAGAGGATGAGGCAGGGCGATTTCTCCAGCTCAGAGCAGCGCAACAAGCGCTGCCAGTCTGCTACAGACACTGCATGTTTTTTCTGCTCGAAGGTTGTGCAAACCACACTGTCAAATCAGCAGGTGTCTCTCCCAGTCCAGGAATCCCATCTCTTTAGTTGCACAAATGCAGGTAGAGTCTTCTCCGCTGAGAGAGGGAAACAGGAAGCCCCACTTTCCGGGTCCAACCTTCAGTCACAGCAGGACAGGAAGCCCTGACTGTTGGTGGGGCTAAACAGGAAGTCGTTCCCCAATGTCCGAGGCACAGCAGGCCACTCGCTCTGGTCACACCTGCGTGGCAGCCCGAACAGTCTTGGGAACCCCACCTGGAGAGATGACTGGACTGGGGCCGGTGGCCTGGAAGAGAGAGGAGGGGTGAAGAACAACCTCATAGGTTACCCTAGATATATAACTCACCCTTTTCCCACTAGCTCCCACTACGGTGAAATTAGTTGAGTTCCCCCCAAAAAGTGTCTAGCCACCCTTGGGAGAGACAAGACATGCAACAATCCAACTTTTATGGGGAAGAAGACATTCTATTCCACTTCAGAGAGAAAATGAGAGTTTTGCCAATTTTTATGAAAAAAATTAAGGTGTTTTTCCTCATTTGGTGAGGAAATTGGAACTTCACTTTTTTTTCATGCTTCTTTTAATTTACATAAAAATTGGGTGGGAAGTTGTGTCCAACTTTTACGTATTAAAAAAAGAAAAAGAAAAAAAGCTACCAACTTTGTAAACCAACAAGAAAAGTTGGAAGAATTCAGACCATCTCATCTCTCTGACTGAAACAAAAAAGTTCCACCTCCGTTCCAGGACACTGGGGCACCCACACTCACCGGGTGTGCCCTGGATGGGCGAGGGTCCTCCAGCGGGACTTTGAGAGGCAGAGGCTGTGGGGTCACGCTCTGCATCTTCTTTTCTGGTAGTGGGACTACAGGGGTCAGCGTAGGGGGATGTTTCTTTTTCTTAGGGGTCTCTCCTTGGAAAGGGAGGAGGAAGAGAAATAGAAACACGTGACTGGCTGTTCAACATGCCCACCCAGCCAACGGCAAGGGAAGCTGGGCTGAGAGGTGTTGTCTTACTCTGATTGGCTGATATGGAGATAGGAAGGCGGATTGGATGAGGTAACCGCTGCTGGTTGATTCAGAGGCTGAACCAATGGCGCTCTTTCTAGGGACCCTACCAGTTGGTCCCTCACTCACCTCGAAAGGGGCACAGACAACAGATGCATAGGAGCAGAAGTGCTGCCAGGAGTGCGAGGGCCAGTAGCGAACCCAGGACGATGCCTGCAATCGCCCCGGGGCTCAGGGTGGGGCCTGGAAGAGACATAGAGAAGGAGGATAGGGGAGCAGGAGCCAAAGCTGGATCTGTTTCCTGAGCCCCCCGGTCTCAACCCCCCTCAGAACCCAGGAATCTGGGACCTCAGCATCCTCAATTCATTTAACATTTCCTAAGTGACTATGATGTGCCTGGCAGTCCACTAGCTGGTGAAGATCCATTGGTGAGCAAGCCAATATACCTGCTGTCGTGGGGATTCAATCAGAAGTGAGTGCTCAAATAAATAACATAACTACAGATTGCACTAAGAAGAAAAATAGACGTGCTATGATAGAAGTAATGGGAGGGGAGGTGACATTTAGAAATGCTGGTGAAGAAAGGTCCTTGAGGAAGTAACATTTTGGGAAGAGACCTGGAGAATTTATTCTAAGTTCTAAGACACGCTAAACTGGGGGAAGTGTATTCCAAGCAGTGGGAACAGAACAAGCAAAGACTTAGAGCTACAAAAGGGCTTTCTGCATTCAGTGAAGGCCAGGGTGGGTGGAGGAAATGGAATGAAGGTAGAATAGGTTAAGGATGAAGTTAGAGGGGTTAACATGGACCAGAGTCTGGGCATGAAAGGCTTTTCAGCAGGGCAGCAGCAACACGATCTGATTTGCATAACTTCAGCTTCTGCCTGGAGAATGGCTTTGGAGGAGGGCAAGAAGGGATGTAAAGAGACCAGATAAATGGCTGTTGCAGTCCAAGTAAGAGAGGATGGTGGTGTCTGACCAGAGTGTTGGAGTGGAGATAGAAAGAAGTGGGTAGATTAGGAAAGCATTTTGGAAGGAAAAGTGATGGGACCTGCTGGTATCTGGGATGTTGGAAGTGATGTCAGCATGCGGGCAGTGCCATTTACCAGGATGGGAAGACTGGAGATTTGGTCCGATGCGGGCAGGGTGCAGTTTGGGGAAAACTATTGAGGTCTATTCCGGACATGTAAAGTTTGAGGTGCCAGTTGGGCATCCAAAGTGAAGAGGTCAAGTGGCGAGGTGCCTCTTCAAGTCTGGAGTTTAGAGGAGAAGTCTGGGCTGGGGATGAGACATCTGAGAGTCATCTGAGCATTAATGATATTTAAGGCAACGAGAGTAGACAAGGCCACACTGGGAAGAAATATAGGTTGAGAAGAGGGCTGAGGACTGAGAAACCCAGTTCTCACAAGTTGAGGAGTGTTAGTGGTTGAATTGTATCTCCCCTCCAAAAGATATGGTGACACCCTAACTCACAGTACCTGTGAATGTGACCTTATTTTGGAAATGAAATTTTTGTGGAGCATCTTGATTTGATTACACCTGCAAAGATTTCATTTCCAAACTAAGGTCATACTCACAGGTACTGAGGGTTAGGTTGTCAATACAGTAGCCCCTCCCCCCTTATCTGTGGGGGATGCGTTCCAAGAGCCTCAGCAGATGCCTGAAACCATGGATAGCACCAAACCCTATACCCGATATTTTTTCCAGGGTCATTACTCTTGCACTTTGGGGCCATTATTAAGTAAAAGAAGGGTTCCTTGAACAGAAGCACTGACATGCCATGACAGATGATCTGATACCGGAGACAGCTTCAAAGTGACTAATGGGAGGGATACCCTGGACAAAGGGATGATTCACATCCCAGGCAGGATGGAGCGGGGCCAGCATGAGATTTCATCACGCTACTCAGGCACGCAATTTAAAACTTATGAATGGTTTATTTCTGAAATTTTCCGTCTAATATTTTCAGAGTGTGGTTGACTGCTGGTAGCGGAACCCAAGAATAAAGGAGGGCTATTGTATCTTTTGGGGGGGAGACAACATTCAAGAAGTCAAGTCAAGATGAGATCATGAGGGTGGGCCCTGATGTGATATGGCTACTGTCCTTACAAGTGGACAAGAGACACACACAGGGAGGAGGAGGCCCTGGGAAGCTGGAGGCAGAGATTGGAGTGATGCCAAGGACTGACGGTCACCATCAGAAGCAGAAAGAAAAAAAATGAGGATTCTACACAGTCTCAGAGGGACCATGGCCCTGCAGACACCTTGATTTCAGACTTCTGGCCTCCAGAGTTGTGAGAGAATACATTTCTGTTGTTTCAAGCCACACAGTTCATGATACTTGGTTACAGCAGCCTTAGAGAACTAATGCAGAGAAGGAAGAGCCAACAAAACAGACTGAGAGGAGACAGCCCTGGAGAAGGCTCCCACAGCTCCAACTCACCAGCCAGGTAGACCTGGCTTTGGGATGGGGTCCCTGGCTGGCCCCCCAGGGTGGGCAGGATACGAAAGACCCAGGTCCCAGGGTTCCGATGAGGGAGGGGCACCACCGCTGAACGCTCCCGAGGTCCCAGGATGAGCAGGGAGACCCAGTCTTTGTAGGTGGCAGCTCTGCCCAGGTCAGGGCCCTCTGGTCGTGTCTGGATCTCAAAACCGCTGATCAGGGCCCCGCGCTCCACATCCCAAGTCAGCACCGCTGCATCCTGGGTTCTCTGCAGCCTCCATGAGGAGATGGAGGGTCCTGGGGATGGTTGGGGGGATCAAGATGGAGGCTGGATTCATGGGCCCTAGAGGGGAGAGGGAAGAGGGCCACCAGCCTGGACTCCTAGGTCCCAGGGGCAGGGAGTCTGGAGACCCTGGCTCCTGGGTCCATGAGAAGGAACTCGGGACCTGGACTCTTGGGTCTGAGGAAGGAACAGGCTGGAATAACAGTCCTACGTGTTTGAGAGAAGAGAGGGCTGGAGGGCCCGGTTCTGGGAAAGGATGGGGCTTACCAATGAGGGTGATCTGGTCCCCACCAGCACCCAGCGCCCCGCTGCACAACACGGAGTAATTGCCCAGGTCCCAGTCCAGGCTGAAGTTGCCAATGAGGAGCTTCCGTCCCTCTTGGCTGAGCCGCAGACGCCCCCCACCTCCTGGGGCCAGGGGTCGCCCTTCCCGGGACCAAGATGCTCGAGAAGGTGGGGGACAGCCAGAGGCCTCCAGTGCCACCTCTGCCTCCCCTGAGCGTGTCTTCTCCACTATCGGATGCAGCAGCACCTCGCGAGGGGCCTCTGCAGGTGGAAGAAACCCAATCAAGAAAGTCAAAGCACAGGTCCTGCTCCCTTTGATAAATCTAATAAGGCACCTTAGCCAAATGAGGAAGAACGAACTGACTATTCATTCATTCATCTGATTTCCTTAACAAGGACTTAGGAAGTACGTGCCTGGGAAGGCCCTGGCCTGAGAAATTCACGATTCTCAACTATTTATTGCTCTGAACACGTGGGAAAGTGTCAGCCCTCTTCCTGGTTCCAGGAAAGAAATTTTGTCCCCGCCCCTGCTTGAAGTATAGGAAAAACTTCCATCCTTCTGTAAGATGAAAGATAAAGGCAATCTCTTTTCCTGGAGTTAGGAAATCCCCCTTTCTCAGAGCCTAAAGGAGCAAAGAAGCACCCCCTTCTCCTCGGAAAACAGGAAAGAAGCCCCACAGACTCTCACCCGGGGTGATAGTGCAGGTGCGCGTGGTCACCAGGTGACGAGCTAGGCAGATGACCCGAACGCCGCTGAGCCGGGGGTGGGCGGGGACAGCAGCTTGGAGCACAGAGGACACTGGCCCCGCCCAGACCCCTTCCGGGAGACCCTGGAACTGCAAGGAGGCGGCAGGGACCCCGCCAGGCCAAGAGCAGCGGAAGCGGAGGCTTCGGTCCCCAGGACCCCCTTCGACTGAGCACTCTGGGGACCCGGGGGGCAGATCTGTGGAGGGGAGGGAGAGATCAAGGGGTCAGCCTCTCCCCTCTCCCCTCTAGCTCCGATTCTCTGAGCGTTCACTGCACTCTCTTCACCTGGCCCCACCCTGTAGGCATTGACCCTGCCCCGTTCTTTCGCAGACCCGTCCCCTTCGTCTTCCCACACTTGACTCCTTTCATTCCAAACGTAACCCCACCCCCTTTTTTCTAGTTCCACCCCTTTACCAGGTTATTGGGCCCCTCTGATTACTCCATGAGAAGCCTCTTCCTGCTGAACCCGCCCCTTTTGCCAGACGTCCCTGGGCTTCCTAGTGGACCCTGCCCCCTTTCTAAGATGACCCCGCCCCTTTCTAGAACGATTCCCCTCCGTTCTCTTGTGACTCCGCTCCCTTTCCCAGGTAACGTCTTTCTTTTGCTGATCCCACTTACTGGCCTAGCAACTTAGTCCCTTCCCTTTCTGGCTCCCACTCTTGGCCATTTAAGTCTGCTGCTTAATTTATTGAGATCGCTCCTTGCCCAGGAAGCTCCGCCCTCTCAGTGCTGGCCCCGCCCCTCCTGGCTATCCTCGCTCCACCCCTTACCCTGAGCATCCCCGTTCCTTCTACAGGGATCTCCGCCCCTCCCTCCCGGCCCCGCCCCCATGCTAGCCCCGCCCCATCTCTGAGTAGCTCA